GGGGTACAAACGCGTCTTCAGGCCGAGGGAGAGTCTGCAGCTGTTTTGTGCTTTCCTGGTGCTATTTCAGGTGACAAGGCTCCTCTGGGGGCATTTTGTAAGTGTGAATTGGGAATAACCCCCGGGGGCGGGGAAGGGTGGGAGCACAGCACCTTGGCTCTGACACACAAATACACTCATGGGCAGATCTAGGATTTTGAAAAGCAGGGTGTAGAGGATGAGCTGCACCACCACATCTAACACAATGCAGATTTTTCTCCAGCTAAGAAGAAACGAGAAGCTTTACCAATACGCCCAAGCCAGGGCTGGGTTATTCAGTGTAAGACCGGAGCAAAAACAAATATAAGGTCCTTGGAACGAGTTAAAAACAGTCTGCAGAGCTGTGAAATGGGAGCTACAGGGCCGGAGCAGCCAGCAGCCAGCAGCATGGCAGGACAAAGGACAGCTAGATTGGTGGGACATCAAGACATTAGAAAGGAGAGCGGGTCGTTAGCACCTGTGGAGTGATGAGACATTATCAGGAATGAGGTAGAGGACAATGAGCCATGACCTCAAGGGACTCCTGCAGCACTGCCTGACTAGAAATGCTGCTGCCCCTGGTTAAAATCTTTGTGCACCAGGAATCACAAGAGGGTGCAAGTGCACCCCGCTGGGTCTGCTACGAGTACACTGATGAGGACGGGCACTGGTAAAACCATCCACTTCATCGTGTCGCCTGTGCCACCTACACCAAGGCTGGGAAAGGTCAAGGTGTTTCCAGGCTGTGCTGGGCTTGGCACCGTTTGGTAAGACCCAGGCAGAGACCAGCGTGCAGCCAAGGCCCCTGTGAGATGGAGAGAGGGTTTATCTGTACAGGAGACAAACAAGAGCACGAGGGCGGCCATGCGAGCCGGCGGCCACTGAAGCATGCGAGAGGCGGTTGGAAAAAGAGGACGTTTCCAGGCAGCAGCAGAGCCCGGGGCACGTTTACCGGCTATAAATACGTGGGGGGAGAACCCAGGTGTCACAGCCCGGGGGAGGGAGGGGGCGCAGCGGGGCCAGTTTCATCTTCCCCGTGGGTTTCTCCAGGAAGAGCCAGTTGAGCGAGTCTGGAGACTGAGGTCTAGCAGCAGCTGGGCTGGGGCTGGAGCCAACAGGAAGACATTCAAGGCAGACAAATGCAAAGAGCTGCACCCCAGGAAGGATAAACCCAAGGCATGGGTATAGACTGGGAGAGAGCTGGCTGCATGGAGCTGGGGTCTAGTGCCCACGGACCCAGCCTGCATCAGCAATGGGACAGTCGTGAAAAGACAAACGGGGTTGGGGATGCATCAGTAGAAGCATTAGGGGCAATACCCAGGAGGTAAGGGTGCCTCTCTGCTCCACACTGGTCAGGCTACATCTGGATGCTGCTTGCAGGTCTGGGCTCCACACTTTAAAAAGGATGCGGAGAAGTGAGAGAGGGGCCAACAAAGATGCTCAAGGGCTTGGAAGGCAAGTCGTACAGGAGAGACTGAAGGAGCTGGGCACGTTCAGCTTGCAGAAAAGGCGCTGGGGAGCAGCATCCCCCGTGCGAGCAGGGGGGTCAGCCTGCTGACCCCAGAGCTGCCTGCCAGCCCGGAGACCCTCTCCAGCAAACAGACACTGGCAGTGCAGCGGAGACAGCGCCCACTGATGCCAGGGCATTGCAGAGAGGCCGTTTGCTGAGTTCTGATGACAGGGAGACATCTTCATCAACAACCTGGAAATTGGCACAGCGCGCACTCTCAGACAGTTTGCAGAGGACACCAAGCTGGGGAGAGCAGTAGATACGCTGGAGGGTCGGGCTAGGATTCAGAGAGACCTGGACACACTGGAGGATTGGGCCAAAAGGAATCTCATGAGGTTCAACAAGGACAAGAGCAAAGTCCTGCACTTAGGAGGAGCAATCCCCTGCACCGGTGCAGGCTGGGGTGATGGGCTGGGCAGCAGCTCTGCAGAAAAGGACCTGGGGGGACAGGGGACAAGAAGCTGAACAGGAGCCAGCAGTGTGCCCTTGGTGCCAAAAAAGCTAATGGTATCTTGGGCTGCATCGGTAGGAGCATTGCCAGCAAATGGAGGGCAGTGATTCTTCCCCTCTATTCGTCACTGGGGAGGCCACATCTGGAGTCCTGTGTTCAGCTGTGGGCCCCCACTACAGAAAAGATGTGGAGTCCAGTGGAGGGCCACCAAAATGGTTGTGGGGCTGGAGGACAGGACTGGTGAGGAGAGACTGAGGGAACTGGGCTGATTGAACCTGCAGAAGAGAAGACCGAGGGGGATTGAATAGCAGCCTTCACCTCCCTGCAGGGGGGCTGCAAAGAGGACGGAGCTGGGCTGGTCTCAGTGGGGGCAGATGACAGAAGGAGCAATGGGCTCAAGCTGCAGCAAGGGGAGTTGAGGTTGGATATTAGGAAAAACTTTCTCACTAGGAAGGTAGTAAAATAGGCTGCCAGAGAGGTGGTGGAGTCTCCATCCTTGGAGGTTTTCAAGACCTGTCTAGACAAAGCTGTGGCTGAGATGATGTAGTTGGGGCTGGTCCTGCTTGGAGCAGGGGTTGGACTAGATGACACCCCCTGAGCTCCCTGCCAGCCCGCATCTTCTAGGATTCTGTGCAGAAGCGAGCGAGGCCCCGGGGAGCACAGCCACGGCCTCGCCTGCGTGCACACAAACAGCGAACCCTCGTTGCACGGGGGCAGCAGGCAAAGCAGAACAAGCCACCGAGACGAGACAGCTTGTTCTTCAGCGGGGAGCGGATGGCGGGGTGGCTCAGTGACGTCAGAAGTGAGGTACAGATGGGACCCCAGGGACCGGGTGTCCTCTCGATGAATGAAAGGGAGAAAGAGCAGGGGGGAAGTGGAAAAAAAGGCCCAAGCAGGGGGTGTCAGGGCCCAGCCCAGGCCCACAGCGCAGAGCTCGGGAGAGGCAGGAGCTCCTTGCAGCAGCTCTTTAGCTAAAGCCTGTGGGGCTGCAGCAGAGGCCCCCCAGGGCAGCAGGAGTGGACCAGGCAGCCGGGGCACGGCGAGGGCCCCTGGTTTCCCCAGGGACCAGAGAGTCCTGGGAGGGTAAATCCAGGCAGAGGGTCAGTGCTTAGATGCAGGGTCAGGACCCGGAGCCTAGAGCCGGGGTCAGGACAGGTCACAGGCGGCGGCGGGAAGCAGCAGTGAGGCTGGGAGCATCCCCGGAGGAGACCGCTTTCCACGGCCTCCCTCACCTGCTTTAAGGCTGCACTGGGGCAGAGTCGGCTTCCTGCCAGCCCCAGGGCACTGCTCATCCACAGCAGGACCACCCCCCGCCCGGCGGGTCTGGGCGGCCTGGCCCTCATCCCACCAGAGGCTGTGGAGTGGGGCTATGGGGTGGGCATGCACGCCTCCCCCCAGCCAGACACCGGGCTGCCACGAGAGAGAGCTGACGCCATCCTGCCATGAGTGCGGCCACCCCATGCTTCGTTGGCTCACGTACAGGAACAAGTGCGGTCACAGTTCCTCTTTCAGGGTTGCCCCCGGCTGCTATTTCTGGCATGCTTGCAGCTGCGGTGGGGGGTGTTGCAGGACAGTGCAGCGCCTCCGCCTGGGAATCGCCCTGGATGGGGATCCCTGTCACCCACGGATGCCAGCCGCTGCCACAGCCTTGGCAGCCTCCGCGGTGCCGGCACCCCTGTCCTGGGGAGGCCAACCAGTACCCGGGGTGTGCTCTGGGCTGGGCTGGGCTCAGCTGTTGACTCGTCTGCCTGGCTTCTGGCTGGACCGGGCAGCTTCCAGCGTCCTACGGGCACAACTCGGTTCCCCCCAGATGTACCCCTGCAGCAGCAACCACCTTTGGTCTCCTCTGCATCTCCTGGCTCACGGGCCGTGGTCTGTCATCCAGCACCAGGACAAGTCATGAAGGGCTGGGAGCCCCAGGGTCCCACCGTGCTGGTGGGAAAGCAAGCTATAGCCATTATACTTCCCCAGCCCGAGCAGGGCCCATGTCCTGCTCCAAAATACCAACGACACCGGTGTAAATGCGCCGGGGGCAGCAGGTCTGATGTGCCACCAACCGATGCAGGGCCATGAAGGCAGACAGCCTCCCATCGTGGGGACATGGCCTGAGGACCCAAACGCCCATCTAGCTACTCACCTACCCTGCCACCTTCTCCAGGCCCCAGGACTGTTTCGGGTTAACCCACTGCCCCTGGGCCATGCACAGATGTCCCTGCTTGCACACAGTCTGGACGGCCAGCACCAGTCCCTCCAGCCTGCAGCCGTTTCCACCCAGAGCCATCACGGCTGCACCAGGGCACAGCCAGCCAGGGCTGCGTGCCAGGGCTCAGGGGTCACAGTCTAGGGCTCGGCAGAAAGACATTCACCCTGTTCAGCAAGCCGTGGAGCTCTGCCCTGCTGCTATTGATATGCCACCAGCCTCGCCCTGGCAGTTAGTTGGGACCAGCTGGGAGCGCGCAGTCTCACCCAGGCCACCAGGGTAGGCAGGGGCAGGCCAGAGCTGTGCCCGCTGCCCCCAGCCTGGCTCACCGCTGTCCGGGTACCAGTGCCCTGCTGTTCAAGTGGGGTGAGGATGACCTGCTGGCCAGATGTTGCTGCAGGTCACAGTGCCCACCTGCCCTATGCAGCCCTTGCCCTGCATGCTCAGGCTCGGGGCGCCTTGTAGGTGCTCCTTGAGGGCCCCGCGTGCCCTCCCCTCCTGTGCATGTCCTCAGGCAGCTCCAGATGCTACAAGGTACCCTGGATCTGCCGTTCTGCCCTCCCAGGCCTCCCCCCAATAGTGCACCCGCCCCTCATGCAGCCGAGCTGGGTGCTGTGGCCTGTGCCTGGGGGCACTGCTTCCTCCCCCAGATGCTTGTCCCATGTCAGGCCCTTTCAGGCTTGCATTGCCCTTCCCAACTGCTCCCCAGAGAGCTAGGAAGTCCTAGTCCCCACAGGACCCCCCCCAACCCTGCCCCACACTGCCCAGAGAGAAGACAACTGAGGAAAGCTTCATGGTTTATTGAGGAGATGCATGGGAACCACAACCCTGCAGATGCTGCTGCCCCTCACCCCAGCTCCTGGGTGTCTTCCCCAGCCACCAGTCACAGCAGCGCTGGCCAAGCAGCACATGCACACCGGCCGGGTTGGGCACTGTCCCCGTTGCTGGTCTGTCCCCAGGACCTGCAGCTCGGCCAGGCAGGGGGATGTGTGTTGGGCAGCAGGCATGGGGGTTCAGCACACAGGGGGCTGCAGTTTGCAGGCAGCAAGGGAGCAGGACCCCCAGGTAGGGCATGGGGGCTTGGGCGGCAGGGACTGGCATATAAAGGCCAGAGGGTGGGGGTAGGGGTTGCTGGGGCAGAGCAGAGTCCTGGGGGGCTCCATGGCTGGGATGTGTGCAAAGGGGAACCAGTGCCCTGCACGGGGCTGCAGCCAGGCTCTCACAGGGGACCGGCACACACATAGGTCGTGCTGCCCCGGTGGAGGGTGGGGGGCACGATGCCAGGGCCCCACTGCAGCACGGCCGCACTTTGCTCGCAGATCCAACGTTGGGACTCCCAGCACTGGCCACCCGACAGCCCAGAGCCTGACAGCTTGCCACAGACAGGGTATGAGCTGCTCTTGCGCTTCACCCACTGCCTGGAGGGGAAGGCAGGGCAGGGCAGGGCAGGACAGGGCGTCAAAGCTGCTCCCTGGAGCATGCCAGGACATCCTTGCTGGGAGCAGCCCCCACCCCAGCCCCATAGAGCCCCAGCCTCCCCTGTGGAAGGTGCAATGCCCCCAGCCCAGCCCTGTCTCATTTCCATGCCCATGCCACCCTCATCCACACTGCAGCAGCAGCCAGGAGTCCTCCAACACCACGCAGGGCTCCAGCTAGTCTGGGTCTCACCTGTCCAGCATGGAGCCATCCAGAAACTTCCAGCCTGAATGTGGATTGTCTTCTTTCAGCCCGATATAGAAGACACTGGTGTTAGCCACCTGTTGCAGGTTAGCCTACGGCACCGCACAGCGGCACAGTCAGTACAAGTCTCACGCCTGTCATGTGTGTACTGCACCTGCTGCCATGGTCACACATGTGGGCAAAGGGGTGCTGCCCTGGCACAAGTGTAGTGCATGCACCAGCCTGTGGCCCCAGGACCCTGCAGACATAAATGCATGGGCTCCCCCTGCCAGCCCAGCATGGACACACTGGCACATGCATGCACATGCATACTCCCCGGAGGTGCAGCTCCCTCTCTGCAGGGCTGAGTTGCAGGCTGCTGTGTCTGCCTGCACTGAAGTTCCCACAGCCAGGTCCCTGAGCCCAGCCAGGCCAGGAGAACCCAGACCTGGGCCCTGGGGTCGTGGGCCCTGCTGCAGGGGTCAGGGGGTGACTGTATGCGCTGCCACAGCTGCAGGCATGGGCAGATGCCTGGGAGCGCCCACCCTGCTCCAGCTGCACTGAGGAGTTGCGGGGCACTCACCAGTATGACACCGGGCCGGACTGCAGCTAGCTGGGCATCTCGGCCAGTGCAGTCCTCTCTGCTCCCCTCCCAGGTCCTTTTGGTTGTAGAAAGGTAAAAGCAGCTCCCAGCCTCCCAGAGCCAGCCGGCCGGGCAGAACTGGCATTGCCCTGCAGGGAGAGAGAGCAGCGGGCACAACGGAGAGCCCAGCTGGCCCCACACGCAGCCCCTGGCACAGGGGCAGTGGGGCAGAGGGAGGGGAGCTCCCCTGCAGCCTGGTCCCAGGGCTGGAGCATGTGCCGGGCTGGGTCACGGTGCTGTCACCCAGCTGAGCGTGGTGGGACAGGGGAGCCCAGCTGGCATCCCCAGGGAGCTGGCACGGATGGCAGCCCTGCACCATGGGGCTTGGGACCCCTGGAGGGATGCACTCGGGGGGGCATGGCACTGCTCCCTGCCTCCCCCCAGCCGGGGCTGGTGGCCAGAGGGGCCCACTGGTGATAGGCAGCAGGAACGAGCAGGCAAGGCACAGCCAGTGCAGGGTCATGGGGACCTCCAGCCCTCTCTCCTATGGGGCAGCCTCCCTCCTTCCCCCCCATGGACCCTGCTCTGCTCTCCTACCTGCCAGGAGCTTCCCCGGGGCCTGCCCACCGGCCGGGCCATCCTCTGTGCTCCGGGTGTGTTCACCGTAGCTCCCCATCTTCCCTACAACTACAGAGCACGAGCCTCAGCCCAGGCTGCCCATGGACCCTCTAGTCTGGCCTCATGGCTTGGGCAGCACCCAGCACCAGCTGGCCCTTGCCTCCCATGCCCACGGCAGCTAGAGCCCATGGCCACCCCAGGAGCAAGGGTAGATCCAGGGTTTTAGAAAGGGGGGTGCAGCGGGGGTGATGTATCATCACATATAACATCACATTTTTCTCCTAGAAGCCCTGCCAATGGGGTAGGGGGCTAGCACGATATGATTCAGATCAAAGCGAAGCCAAATATAACTACGGGAATGTGCACTCATTTGCTAGAGTATAGATGAAGTTAAAAAAACAACAACATCGAACTAGGCAAAAAATAATCAAAGGAGATTGCATCCTGAGTTGTAGTTAAATTGGCACTGCTTAGATCCATAAAACAAAACCAAGTCTTCCTGAACAAAACCTGCGGAGTGGAGAGGTTAGCAGGAGTCATGGAGATGACAACCAGCCACGAAGTCAATTGCGTCTGTCGGCCCTGCCTGAATAGAAATGCCGCGGCCCCTCCCAGGCAGCTGGTGTTAGAGCCTGGGTGGAGCAGGAGTGCAAGGGGGTGAAACTGCAGCATTGCACCCCCAGATCTGCCCCTGCCTGAGAGCCCCGGCATCGCCCCGGCCAGGCCACGCTCCACTGCCCAAAGCAGGGCCCGGCAGGGCGAGCAGACAGTGCCTCGTCTCACTTCCATGCTGTGGCTTTCGGTTCCCGTGGCAGGGCCGGGCCTGGGGTCGTGAGGCTGATGCAAACGCTCCTAAGGCATCTCTATCTGCCCTCCCCACCCCTGCCCGCTTGCTGCCCTGGCTTTCAGCTGCTGGGGTCTCTGCCTCCCCTCTGGGCTGCAATAATTTGTGCTGCAATGTCCCAGGAAGGGGAGGCTGAGCCCTGGCACTGGGACATGCCCCCAGGAGGGCAGGGGCTGGAGGGGGGTGGGAAGGCCATATCCTGGCCTGCCCTGGTGCCCGGGGGCTATGCAAGGTGAGAGGCTGGGGTATGGGGTAGCAGCTGCCTGATGCCCATACTCACGGTGCAGGCTGAGGCTGATGAGCAGGACTTGGCAGAGCAGGAACAGCGTGCACAGACCGGACAGGCCGAGGGCAGCCCCACGCCAGGACAGCTGGAAGAGGTGCTGCAGGGCTGAGGGGGACACGGTCAGCCAGAGCTGGGAGCACGGACCCCGGGAGGGGTCAGCACAGACCCCCCCAGGAACAGCACATGGGGGCTGGGGAGGGGGCCTGGGGGTTGAGCAGGGGGGCGGCTCTGGAGGTTGCCTGGGTGTTCATCAGAGGGTCCCCCAAAACCAGCACACGGAGGGCCAGAGTTAGGGTCACTGGCCTATCGCTGCCCCTGCTGCATGTTGTCAACCTCCCCCAGCCCAGGAGCTGTGCCCCGGGCCTGCAGGTCTCTGTCTGCCCCAGGGAAACTGAGGCAGCTGCAGGAGTGGGGAAAGGCCGGGGCTGCCCTGTCCTGCCCGGCTGTGTGGGAGTGCTTGTGTACCCACATGCCCATGAGCGCTAGCTCAGCCCGTGGGTCTGTTCCCGTAAGCTGCCGTGACCCCCATCCCCACACATCCTGGCCGCTCTGATCCGCCCGCGCAGCCCCACAAGAAGCCACGGTGGGGCAGGTGCCAGGGTGGGCGCAGCCTGTGGGGCTCGTTACCTGCAGTCGCGGCTGGCGGGGGGATCTGGAGATCGGCGTAGGTGACCTCCTCCTCCATCCTGGGAGCTCTCACCGGGCTCCCGACCGGGGACAACCAGGAACTGGTCCTCCCCCGCACCCACCCCTCCCATGACGTGAAATGAAAAGTGTTGCTCTCAGCGCCATCCCCAGAGGCACCAGCTGGGCCAGCGCTTGCCCGGGGCGGGGAATCCCCATGACATCCCTCCCTCACGGCCGCGGCTCTGCTAGGACCAGCGGGGAAAGGACTCCACTCTGACTGATTAGCCACGACCCCCGGGGCCATGCCAAGGGATGCTGGGCTGTGCTGGACACCAGCCATGGTGTTAAGCAGGGACCAGCGCCCAGGCCGGCTCCAAAAGTGCTGGAGTCACTGTCCCCGCCCAGAGCTGCTCTTCTGCTCCGCCCACAGCTGTCCTCAGCGGACCATGACGCTGTAAACACTTTGGGCCCCCGCTTCGCCCCATCACGGCTGGTGGCTCATGCATTCAGCATGTGACAGGTCCCCCCACCCCTGGGATGCACAGCTGGGCCGTGGGCGGCTTCCCCTGCCTGGGCACTCCCTGCAGAGAGGTCTCACGATCAGCACAACAGTGCCTGGGACTGTGGCCAGGCTGCGCCCCGGTGCCCAGTGCCAGGGGCAGCCCCGGCACAGCATCCTGGGCACCTTGCCCGCAGAGGACGGCCCGGCTTTGTGCCGCTCTGCAGCCCATGACAGGCTGGGATGTGGGCCGACAGTTTCATAGTTGCTCGGGTCGGAAGGGACCTGAGCAGATCATCAAGTCTGACCCCCTGCCATGGCAGGAAAGAGTAGTGGGGTCAAACGACCCTGGCTAGGTGTTCATCCAGCCTCCTTTTAAAGCCCCCCAGGGTAGGAGCCAGCACCGCTTCCCTTGGAAGTTGGTTCCAGCTCCTAGCCGCCCTGACAGTGAAGTCGCGCCTCCTGATATCTAGCCTGAATCGACCCTCTGCCAGCTTGTGACCGCTATTTCTAGTCACTCCCGGTAGTGCTTGGGGGAACAGGGACTCCCCCAATGCCTGCTGGCCCCCTCGGACTAGTTTGTAGACGGCCACTAGATCCTCCTTCAGCCTTCTCTTGTGGAGGCTGAACAGGTTCAGGTCCCGTAGCCTGTCCTCATGGGGCCTGCCCTGATCCTGATCATGCGGGTGGCCTCCTCTGGAGCCTCTCCATGCTGTCCACATCCCTCCTGAAGTGCGGCGCCCAGAGCTGGATGCAGTACTCCAGCTGCAGCCTGACCAGTGTCGCGTAGAGGGGGAGGATCACCTCCTTGGCCCTGCTCGAGATGCATCTGTGGATGCAGGACAAGGTGCGGTTGGCCTTCGTGACTGCATCCCCACACTGTCGGCCCATGTTCATCTTTGAGTCAATAATGGCTCCAAGATCCTTTTCTGCCTCTGCACTGACAAGAAGGGAGTTCCCCGGCCTGTAGGTCTGCTGCTGGGTCTTCCTCCCCAGGTGCAGCACCTTGCACTTGTCAGTGTTGAACCCCATCCTGTTCTCATCCGCCCACCCCTGTTACCTGTCTAGATCCAGTTTCAGCCTGTCCCTCTCCTCTGGCATGCCCACCTCTCCCCACATCTTAGTGTCATCCACAAATTTGAACAGGGTGGTTTTCACCCCCTTGCCCAAGTCACTGATGAAGATGTTGAGCAGTGCAGGTCCAAGGACCGAGCCCTGGGGGACCCCACTGCCCACAGCCCTCCAGGTCGAAAGTGACCCGTCCACCACCACTCTCTGGGTGCGACCCTCCAGCCAACTAACGACCCATCTGACTGTAGGCATCAACACCACAGTCCCCTAGCTTTTTAATGAGAATGGGGTGAGAGACAGTGTCCAAGGCCTTCCTGAAGTCCAGAAAGACTACGTCCACTGCGACACCTGCGCCCAAGGATTTTGTGACCTGGTTGTAGAAGGCACCAGGTTGGTCTGACGGGACCTGCCTCAAATGAACCCGTGTTGGTTGCCCCTAAGCATGATCTCCCTTGCTGCCCCTCATGGACATGCGCCAGGATAACTCTCTCAAAAAGCTTACCCAGGACCGAGGTAAGACTAACAGGCCTGTAGTTTCCTAGGTCCTCCTTCCTCCCTTTTTTGAAAATGGGGACCACATTGGCCCTTTTCCAGTCCTCTTGCACCTCGCCAGAGCACCACAAGTGCTCGTAAACCCGTGCTGGGGTCCCGCAATGACCTCAGCTAGTTCCCTCAGTGCTGGGGGTGGAGATCGTCAGGACCAGCTGATTTAAATACGTCCAACCCCTCCAGAAGTTCCCTGATTAGGTCCTCTCTGACCCTGGGCCTGGCTGTGCCTCCCCTGGGTCAGTCGGGGATCCCAAAGGGGGGGATGCCCCAGTCCCTGCTCAAAAAAATGGAGGCAAAGAATCTGTTAAAGAGATTAGTTTTGTCATCTGGTGCAATGACCGGATTACCAAGCATGTCCTGCAGAGGCCCCACGTTACCCAGTACCTCCTTTTTGCCCCCTATGTATTTAAAAAAGGACTTCTTGTTGTCCTTGATCTGGGTCGCTTGTCCCAGTCCCATCTCTGCCTTGGCTTGGAGGATCGTCTCCTTAAGGAACAACCACTCTTCTCAGACACCCAACTCCCCTCCCCTCCCCTCCGGGACCCCAGCACCTCCCCAACTAGTCTCCTTACCTCATTGAAGTCTGCCCTCCTGAAGTCCAGGGCTGCTGCCTTGCTGCAGGTCCTTGACACCCCGCGCTGGATGGTGAATCCCCGCAGGCGATGATCGCTGCCCCCCAGGTGGTCGAGCACCCGCCGCC